GAAGTTAACTGAATTGACTTTTACCGCCAAAAACCCTTTCTGAATTGATTTTTACTAAAGAATAACTTGATGTTTACTGTGGAAAAATTAGCTCAAATGTGTTTTTTAAGGAAAATTCAGCTGAATTGGTCTGCTCTACAACGAAAATTAGCTGAATTGCTTTACAAACAAAAAAAAAAATCCTTGCTATGCCCTGCTTTATTTAAAATGTCTACTTTTTATTAAAATATGTTACTGAATTGTCTTTTTCAAGAGAAAAAGTTAGCTGAATATACTTTTCATAAAATAAAACGTAGCTTAATTACCTTTTATTATAATAAAACGTAGCTGAATTAAGTTTTTCGATGAGAAATATATGCTAAATTAAATGTATCATCAATAAAAGTTTGCTGAATTATGTTTTCTAGGTAAAATTTTACATGAATTGAATTTTTCTGTGAAAAAAATTAGCTGAATTGGCAAGAACGTGAAAATTAGGTGATTTGATTTTTACTTTAGAAAACTTTTGCTGAATTGATGTTGACAGCTGAAAAAAGTATCAGAATTCAATATTTTTATAGTAAATGTAACTGAATATAGCTGAATTCACGTTTAATACAGAAAAACTTAGCTGAATTACATTTTTCAATGAAATAAATGTGCTGAATTAAATTTTTCTATTTTAACAGACTGATGAATTGCATTTTTCTGTATAAATTTGTTGCTGAATTGATTTTTACTACCAAAAAACCTTGCTGAATTGATTTTTACTAGGAAAAAACTTTGCTTAATTGATTTTTACTAGAGAAAAACTTTGCTGAATTGATTTTTGTTATAGAAAAACTTAGCTAAATTAATGTTCACTACAGAAAAAATTTTACAATTCAATATTTTTATAAAAAATGTAGCTGAATAGGTCTGTTCTAGAAAGAAAATTTGCTGAATTTCATTTTTCTGCATAAAAAAAAATTTGGCTACGCCTCTGTTGCCTCGATAAACCATTAATGTTTACAAAACACCAACCCAAAAACAAACAAACAAAAAATGGTATGCACTAATCCTGTCTTAATGTGATCTCTCAGAGACGAAATAACGAAACCCAAATTTCCAGACACCCCATAACAAGCCACTGATCATTATTACTGACGTTAATACTTAAAACCTGAAATGCAGTTTTGCAAGCAGCCAAAGAGTGAGCCCAGCATACCACGAAATGCATTCCGAAAACCATACCATTGAGGACTTATGGCCTTATGTGTAGCAGCAGCTCAAAATAAAAATGCAATAACGACTTAGCCATAATGAACGGCTTAACTTACCTTTGGAGCTGGAGGACAGGTTTTGATGGTAGAGGAGGGGGGTCTTAACAGGTCCCAAATACCAGCACACCATCAATGCTGCACAGCTCAAAATAAATTCCAAAAGAAAAACAAAACACACACTCACATCAGCATAAATCCAGTCTTTAAATAATTCTATTTATTCACTTCTTATTGTTGTTGTTGTACAAAATACATACATATTTACAAAAAAAAAAAAAATAATAATATATATAAAAAATTAAGCACATTATTTATTCATTCATTCCATACTTCGATTTCAATTCATTTCAATATCTTAACAATTCTTTTTGACCACCCGTTCCATGGAACTAGCCACTTCGTTCTCTTGTTGTCGTTGCCTATAAGTATGGCTTAAGTCTATTTAATAAAAAATACAATAATAATAAAAATTCTTTAATAAATTTAAATTAGCAGTAATTTACATTACAAGAGAATAGATTTATAATTTCATAGATATTTTTATAAAAAAATAACGTTTGCAACAAAACAACTTACATATACATACAGACACTTCACTTCATCTACTTACACACATACATATACACTTAATTCTAGTTATACTATAAAAAATAATAAAAACAAAAAAAAAACTTTGCTTAACTTTAAAATGAAAACCTAAATCGAAGACAAGACAATTTTTTCTTTGTATAGAAAAAAAAATAATCAACCTGTCGTCGACTTCATTGTCCCGCTCTCCTCAGAGTCCAACAAATGTGTGCTCGTTGTTGTACAAAAAATAGACACATATTACAGACTCTTTGAAGGTGGACAAGACCACAAATATGCTGTCCAAAAAGCTACAACAAGACATGAAAACCGAAGACAAGAAAATCATACAGGTTGTTCCATAGGTAGTTCGGTAGATGGCTGTGGCAGCCGAACCTATTGGGTGTATGAATAATAATCATGGGAGATAATCAATAATATAAACGGGTTATGGTGATTTGAACGGAGTAAAAGTTTCTTGGAATTTACTTTGAATATTCAAATTTTGTATTTTCAATAGAAAATTAGAAAAATTTGAATTTTATTTGAAAATGTTTAGCCATTAAATCTCCACACTTCAGCTATTTTTACATAGAAAGTTAAATTTTTATTAACAGAAAAACTCAATTCAGCTAAGATTTGCCCTAAGATACCTCAATTTTGAAACAGTTTTCATAAACCAAATTGATTTCAGCAATGATTTGCTATAGAAAAATGCACTTCAGCTAAATTTTATTATAGAAAAATTCAATTCAGCTAATATTTTTCAAAGAAAAACTTAATTCCGCTACACTTTTCCAAATAAAAATTAATTCAGCTACACTTTTCTAAGGAAAAACATATCAGAGCTAGGTATTGCTTTAGAAAAACTCATTTCAGCTACATTTTTCCAAAGAAAAACTTAATTCAGCTACACTTATCTAAGGAAAAACTCATCTCAACTAGGTATTACTTTGGAAAGACCAAATTCAGCTAACTTTTTCTAAAGAAAAATACAATTCAGCTAACTTTTTATATCGAAAAATTAATTCTATCAACATTTTTGAATAAACAAAATACAAAAAAGCTAAATTTTTCTGCAAACAAACTGAATTCCGCAACATTTTTTTGTTGATAAACTTAATTCAGCGGAATTTTATCATCTAAAAACTTAATTCCGCATAATTTTTCTGCAGATCTAATGATAAACTCAATTCAGCTAACTTTTTCTCTAGAAATCGCAATTCAGCAAAAATTTTCTCTAGAAAAACTCATTCAGCTAAATTTTTCGTTCGAAAACCTTAATTCAGTGACATGTTTCTATCAATAAACATAATTCAGCTATCTTTTTATATTAAAAAACTCAATTCAGCTAACTTTTTATATTGAAAACATCAATTACGCTGACATCTTATATGGAAAAACTGAAAGAAATTCAATTTTTCTGCATAAATATTAAATCCAGCTACATTTTTCTATCTATAAACCCAATTCAGCAAACTTTTAATAACGAAAAACTCTAATTAGCAAAATTTTTGTGTAGGTAAATGGAATTAATCGGCATATTTTTGCAGAAAATCAAATTCAGCAACAATTTGCTACCGATAAAGTCAATTCAGCAAACTTTTTTATATATATTAATAAGTTAGCTGAATTGCAATTTTCGAAAGAAAAAGATTGCTGAATTAATTTTTTGATACAAAATTGTAGATTTTCTGTGCACAAATTTTTGCTGAATTGAGTTTTTAGATAATATAAGTTAGCTGAATTGCAGTTTTTGGCAGAATAAGTTTGCTGAATTATTGATTTTCTTAAAAAAATTTAGCTGAATTGAAGATTGCTATAGGAAATATTTACTGAATTGACTTTTTTGTAGGAAAAAATTAGCTGAATTGATTTGTTATACCAAAATGTTGCAGTATTGAATTTTTGTGCAAACAAAGTTAGCTGAATTAATTTTTTCTGCACAAAAACGTAGCTGAATTGGGTTTTCCTGAATGAAAATTGTGCTGAATTGATCATTCTCGTAAATAAAGTTTGCTGAATTATGTTTTTTTAATGAAAATTTGTTGTCTGATTGACTTTTTCTATAGAAAAATTTAGCTGAATTGATTTTTTTGAAAGAAAAATTTAGCTGAATTGACTTTTTCTTGGTTAAAAATATCTTTGAATGATTTTTTCAGTAAGAAAATGTAGCTGAATTGACTTTTTCGTTGGAAATTTAATTTTTTCTACAGAAAAATTTATCTGAGTTGACTTTTTTGTTGAAAACCTGTAGGAAAAATATCATCCAAAGATATTTTTTCCTATTTTCGGTAGAAAAAAGTAAATTCAGCTAAATTTTACTACCAAAAAAATTAAAGTCAATTCAGCTGATTTTTTGGTGGAAATTAGATTTTTTGGTAGTAAAATTTAGCTGAATTTACTTTTTCGTTAAAAACCTTTAGCTGAATTGACTATAAACATAGCTGAATTAATTTTTCTTTGCCAAAATCTTCTTAAATTGTCAAAAACAATAAAAATTATTCAGCTGAATTTACTTTTTCGTTGAAAAAATTTAGCTGAATTGACTAAAAACTTAGTTGAATTACATTTTTCGTAAAAAAATAAAATTTAATAAAAATTAATTAGCTGAATTGATTTTCTCCTCGAAAAATTCAGCTGAATTTGTTTTTTTAACACGCGCAAACTTATTCCGACACCCAATAGTCAACCGTCAGACATTGATTGCAACACATTCCATTACAACGTGATCGGCAAGTCTATATCGTTTCATTTTTTTTTGCTAGCATGCTTGCTTGTGTTTTGGACAGCGGCTCACCAAATATGGTTAAGACAAGAATTTTACAGGCCATAATGAAAAAAATGTAAAACGCTTACAACTAGACAAAATATCATGCCGCCAAATCGAAGCGATAAAAAAATCTTTTTTTTAGCACGCAATTTCATTGGTCCATATCGATTCGAAGATCTGCAGCGTGAGGTTTAGGTTTTTTTGTGGAGGGGGAATGGATTTTCATTTTCTTTTTCTCGCGAAAATGAAAAACGAGCGAAACTTTGAGTGGCGTTGAGGCGTATAGCCTCACCACGCCAGGCTAAGTGATGCAGATGCTGCTGGAGATGATTGTGATGATGATGACGATTTCCTTCGGATGACGATGTTCGCTGATGACTACTTTCACTTCTCACTCCTGGGGTTTTTTCTTTTCATTTTTATGGTACATAACCATAATTGTGATAGGTCTGGGCATATTGGGCCTGTTGCTGCTGCTGATGTGCGGCTGCCGCCGCCACTGCTGCAGCTGTGGCATGAGGATGTGGTAAATAAGGCAGTGTACCAAATGTATAGGCTGGCAAGACTGGTGGCGAGTTGGAGTTACCTTTCCCCGATGAGTTGGCGGGCGAGGCAGCAGGTTTGGCTGGAGGCTTGGGTCCTACATTCCCATTGAGACGCATGGGACGGCGTACAAAAATGTGGGCCACATAGTGGCTAATGATGAAGGCAATCACGGAGCCCAATATAATGCCACCCAAAACATCAGACCAATGATGCCAATAATCGGAGATGCGGGACAAGGCCACATACCAGGCAAACATGATAAAGGTGAATTGTAGCAAATGTTTCATGAGCCTGGAGGCCCGGGTACTGAGAGCAGCCTGGAGATAGAAGGCCAAATAGAGCATGGAATAGAAAAATACACTGGAGTGGGCACTGGGAAAGGATTGGCCGACTTGGTTTAAAATCGATTCGGTATAGTTTTGACCCACGCACACATAATCATCGATGTAACGTCCATAGTTAAAGGAATCCTTGCAGGTAGAACCATCCGGCATTTGTGGCTGGCAAACGGCCGTAAAGTGAGGCCTCAATCGGCCCACTGTCTTTTTGGTGATATGTGTTGCCACGAGGGTTAAAGCCAACCCGAATAGGTAATAACCTATTTGGGCATAACAATGCATTAAACGTTCGGTAATGCGACAGCCGCCACCATTCTGCTTCGACGTGGATTGTGGAGATTTACGTTTTTCACAGCTACCCGAAGATGGCAATGGAGAAAGTTGTTTAAACAATTCTATTACCATAATTATGGAACAGGGTACAGCCAACACGATGCCCACCATCATGGGCACCGTAATCGTACTTTCACGATAGGGATACTGCAGTGATTCATCGTTACAGAAGAAACCGCGTTTATGCGGTTTTAGCCATTTGCGTAATCCCAGCTCGCATAGGCAGACACCGACAAAGATCAGCAGGTCGAAGACAATGCGGGCAATGCTCTTTAGACGTTTCATGGTATCGAGGTAACAAAAATACGCGATAATAGGTCCGGGTAAGTTAGGTGGTTATTCTTGGAAATTCGCGAAAAGAAACTAATTTCCGATGATTCACTAGGGCACCAAAATATATTTTTTTTTTTTTTTTTTTGATTTTCTGATTCTTAAGGCTTTTGCGCCGACGCACTTCGAACCGATCCACTTATATTTTATTTTAGTTTTTTTCGTAAAAAATTATCGTTTTTTATTCTTCTATTTTTTTTTTAAATTTTTTTCTATTAAAAAAATTATTTTTCGTTTCGTTCCGTAGGCGTCAGAAAAACACCCGTCCGTCTTCGTTTAGGTTTTCGTAATGACTAAAACGTCAACTCACAACATTGGCTCAGATGAAGGTGGCTGATTCGCATTCGAAGACACCAACCAACCAACAAAACAAAACGAACCAGCCAAACAACCTGCCTAACTAACTGCAGCTGCTGCCTCTTTTTACTAGTGGTGCTCAATCATTCATTCATTCTTTTGTTGTTTTTGTTATTTTTGTTGCTCACTTTGTTGTTATTATTGTTTTTAAGACTTTTCTTTTGTGTGCGTGTGTGTGTGTGCCACACTCACCTACTAAGCAACACTCAATAATAACAAAACATACTTGTTATGACCAAAACACGACAGGCACAACAACAGCCCGAGCGACAGACGAAGCTTAAGAAGGAGGGGTGCTCATGTATTTGGTGTTTTTTGTTCAAAACATAACCAGGCAGGTACAAATTATGTTTATTTATTTTTGTTGTTATTGTTGTTCATTTTGTTTACCGCTCTTGTATGCAAAAAAACAGTAATACCTCTCTCTCACACTCTCCCTCTTCGATAGTTATTTTTATAATAAACACATCAGTCAGTAGGCATTGGAAATACCCACTATGGAATTTGTTGCTCTCTCTATCTCTCTCAATGGAATTCAGTTATGCGAATGGCATTCGGCACAATGGGGCTTGATCGTGGATTTGCTGGGAGATCAAGAAATTACAAAAATTAGCAGGATTAAAGGAGATAAATTAAAAATGTTAAGGAAAACATAGCTAAATTGATTTTCCTTGAATAAAAATGTAGCTGAATTGACTTTGTTATGTACAAAAGTTAGCTACAATGGAAAATAACATTGCTGAATTGGTATTAAGTTAGATGAATTGAATCGAATGTAGGCGAATTGATGAATAAAACTTTGCTGAATTGAGTTCAAGCTAGCTGAATAGAATTTTTACCATAGAAAAACTTAACTGAATTAAGTTTTATGTTTACAAAGTTAGCTGAATAGAGTTTTTCCATGGAAAAACTTAGCTAAATTAGGTTTTTTGTTTCTAATGCCAACTAAATAGAGTTTTTCTATAGAAACTAGCTGAATTGAGTTTCTCTGAATAAAATATAGCTGAATTGAATTTTTTCATACAAAAAGATAGCTTAAGTTATTTTTGTGTAAAAAATCCTTTGCTGAATTAACCATAGTAGAAAAAAGTTTGCTTAAAAATAGAGTTCATTTAAATTTGCTACAAGAAAAGCCAGCTGAATTGAGTTTATCTGAATAAAAATATAGCTGAATTGATTTTTCGTAATGGAAAAACGTAGCTGAATTGAGTTGCTCTGACTAAAATTTTAGCCTAATTATTTTTCCCCTACAGAATACTAATTAAAATGAATGTTACTTAAGCTGGATTGCGTTTTGAGTTATATGAATAGAACTTTTCTATAGAAAACTTTAGCTGAATTGCGTTTTTCGCTTGAAAAGGATAAAAACAAGTTTGCGGAATTGAGTTTAGTTTAATTACACTCACGAACAACTAGCTGAATTGAGTTTATAGGCATACAAATGTAGCTGAATTGATATTTTATACATATATACAAAGTTATTTAAAATTATATATTCTGTAAAAACCCGTAGCTGAATAGAATTAAAGTTAACTGAATTGAATATTTATCATATAAGAACTTAGCTAAATTAAGTTTTTTGTTTCTAAAGTTAGCTGAATAGATTTTTCCAATAGAAAATCTTAGCTGAATTGCGTTTTTCGATTAAAAAAGATAGAAAAACATTTTCTGAATTGTGTTTAATTCAATTAATTACATGAAAAGCTAGCTGAATTGAGTTTCTCTAAATCGAAATGTAGCTGAATTGATATTTTACAAAGTTATTTAAAATGATATTTTCTGTAAATACACATAGCTGAATAGAGTTAAAGTTAGCTGAATTGAATTTGTACCATACAAAAACTTAGCTGAATTAAGTTTTTTTGCTTTAAAAGTTAGCTGAATAGAGTTTTTCTCTAGAAACATTTAGCTGAGTTTGAATCTCCTTTGAAAAGGATAAAGAAAATGTTTCCTGAATTGTGATTAATTCAATTACCTACCGGAAAAAATAGCTGAAATGAGTTTTTGAATAAAAATGTAACTGAATAGATATTTTCCATATATAAATTTAGTTAGAATGCTTTTTTCTGTAAAAACCCTTAGCTGAATTGAGTTAAAGTTAGCTGAATTGAATTTTTACCCTATAAAAACTTAGTTGAATTGCGTTTTTCATTTGAATATGATAGAAACATGTTTGCTAAATTGGTTTTAATTAAATAATCAACAGGAAAAGCTAGCTGAATTGAGTTTCTCTGAATAAAAGTTTAGCTGAATTGATATTTTCTATACAAAATTTTAGTTAAAATTAACTTTTCCGGAGAAAATCTTTAGCTGAATTGAGTTTAAGATTTTCTATATAATAACTTAGCTGAATCGAGCTTTTCTTTTTAAAAGGATAGAAATTTTGCTGAATTGAGGTTTTCTAGCGAAATCACTAGCTAAATTTAGTTTTTCTAAAGTAAAACTTTGCTGAATTGATATAGTTTACATAAAAAGTAAGTTTTACAATGGGTTTCTTAAAATGAAGTTTGCTGAATTGAAATTTTCATTAGAAAAATTCTGCTGAATTAACATTTTACTTCGAAATTGATCGCCAAATTGAAATTTTCGTTGCAAATAGTTTACTGGATACAAGTTTTCGATAGAAAATATTAGCTAAATTTTTTTTAGGTAGAAAAATGTTGCTGAATTGAGTTTTTCTAAAGAAATTAGTAGCTAAATTTAGTTCCTTTTAAGTAAAACATTGCTGAATTGACTTCTTCTGCATTTAAAGGTAGTTTTATTGCGGTTTTTCTTACAACAAATTTAGCTGAATTGATATTTGCGCCAGAAAAATATTGCTGAATTTTTAATTTTCGGTAGAAAACTTCACTAGTATAAGTTTTCGATAGAAAAATTAGCTGAATTGGCTTTTAAAGTAAAAAAAATGCTGAATTGGTTACAAAATGTAGCTGAATTGAAATATTCTAAAGAAAAATATCGATATACTAATTTTTTCTTACAAAAACTTTTGCTGAATTGAAATTCCTATTAGAATCGATTTGCTGAATGTACTTTTTCCATTCCAAAATTTAGCTGAATTGAATATTTCTATATAGAATGTTGAAATTTACTATAAAAAATGTTGTTGATTTAAAATGTTATAAAAAACGTGTGCTGAATTAAATTTTCCTTCAAATAACTAAGCTGAACTGAGTTTTTCTGCCTTAAGCTATATCAGAATATTTTTTTTTTACAGTAAGAGTTTGCTGAATCGTATATTTTCAGATTTATTTGTGAAAAATGTTGCTGAATTGTGGTTTTCATATGAATTATTATTCCAAAATATGTTTTCCGTTAGCAAATTGTCGCTGAATTAATTATTTTCTAGAAAAAGCTAACTAAATTGAATTTTTATGTAACAAAAATTTAGCTGAATTGAATTTTTCTTTGTGAAACATTAGTTCAATTGAATTTTTCCATTAAAAATGGTAGCTAATTATTTTCAAAGAAAACATTAGCTGAATTTAATTTTTTAATGACAAGTTTTGCTGAACTGTGGTTTTGCATTTTTTTTTTTATATATTTTCAAGTTTTTTCCCTAAAGCAATATTTTTATTACAATCCCATTGTGCATTTAAGCTCTCTATTTGCTAGGAATTCCCCAAAGCCAAACACCTATATAATTTTTGTTTTATTATTTTCTCAATCCCAACGCATAAACACACACTCCTCACACTTGATTCCGCTCAGAGTCAAGTCAGCAACGTTACTTTGGTTACAACTCAATAGTCGTAGAACGGCATGACTCTTTGGTTTCGATATTCGTTGGTTGTTTGGTTCGTTCGTTTGTTTGTTGCTGAGCTGAGTATTAGCAACAGTCGTTTAGGTTTCTCAGTATTCAACAACAGATTTTTGTTTTGTTTATTTTTCTGTGATTTTTTTCCTTCTTCTTCATAACAGCAATAAAGAAGAATCTCCGTTGGTCATCAGCTGTTTTTGATTCTTCCATGCAATACACAAATATGTATGTGTGTATGATTGTTTGTAATTGGTTAGGTTAGGTTCTTTTGTTTGTTGTTTCTCATGGCGTCTATTTTTAAAGAAACGGTTCTTCGCACATGGCTGTGAATCAGCCGGAGTAAGATGTGATGATTTCTCATAGACGCGACTTTGTTTGCTATTCTTGGTGGGTATTATTTGTTGTTGTTGTTCTTCTTCTTGTTGTGTTCGTTGCTGTGGTTGTTCTTCTATAGCCATTGTTCGATGTTATTTGCATTTTTGTGAAATTTCGAAATGTCCATAAGCAGAAAACAAAAAGGTTATTTAACATATGCACATTTGGTGGGCACAGGTAGGCCTCGCGGAACGCAAATTGAATATTTCAATTGAGATAAAGTTTACCTGAAAAAATGTTGCTGAATTGATTTTTTCTCAATTCACATTCTATAGAAAATAGATTAATTACACTTAAAAAAATTAGCTTAATTAATTTTTTTCTGTTGAAACAATTAGCTGAATTGAATTGTATGAGGGAAAAAGTTAGCTGAATTGTCTTTTCAATAGTAGAATATTGCTAAATTGAGATTTTTTAATAAAAATGATTAATAAATTAAGGTTTTTCACTAAAAAAATTAGCT